AAAAACTTTATTTCTGATTCCTTAATGATATAGTCTTATTAGTCAACTTTGATCATTAAAATCAACGTCGACGTGGTTTTTAGGAAGATACGTTGAGTCGAGTATAAAGCGTGTTACGAAAGCGTGCTCAAGCCTTGTGTGGCCGCACTCACCGACTCCGGGGAAGGGTTGCATCCCGGGGAAGGCCGCTGCGTGCTGCAATGCTGCTGCCTCGCCATTGGGTAGGCCTTGCGCTGTCACTGGGACTGCTGGAAAATAATTTGCAGTAGTTCTCATCAAAGAGCCTAGATCAAAAATTATTTTCAAAATAAAAGGATACTAAAATTTTTTTAATTTCTTTTAACACAGTTCTGGCAGAATACCAACATCGTGGGAAACTGCGGCATTTATGCTGAGAGAGTTTTCACTTCCATGACTTCCAAAACTATTAATTTTAATAAGTTACCTATATGTGAAGGTGCACGTTCCTTTTATTATTAAAATTTGTTATTTTTAATTGGTTCAATTTAATAATAATTATAGTGTTAGTTTTAGTGGATCTTAGTAAATAAGCTGCCATGAAAGTGAATAACGTTTTTATCTATTTATCTATTAAAGATTTAAAGAAATGGAGCCGAAACTTTTTTTATGATATTTAATGATGAGACGAACTAGTCGTGCACCTGGTGGTAAGCAACACGTCTACCTATAACAGTTGCTGTACCACTCAGAGTTTTAAATTACAAAGACCTGTCAGATACTGCCACTGCGCCATGAAGAGACATGAAGTTGACAAGTTATATGTACCTGTAACTTCACCAGCACCCTTGCCCTTCAAAACCGGAAAGTAGGAATGGTCATATTACTGCTCAAGAAATTGTGGCAGTACTTCGCTAGACGAACTCTTTCACAAGGAGGGCTGTTACTAAACTAAGCAGTATTATTAGTCAAACTTACGACCAGTGAAGGTCTGATGGATGCCATTGGTGTACACAGCTTCCTGTGGCGGGGGTTGTCCATTGGCGGTTTGCGCCGCCATATTGAACCCCGGCATGGTCGGCGAAGGCAACGAAGGCAGTGCGCCGTTTAATGGCTGCGCGCCACCGGTGCCTATCGCCAGACCAGAGAAGTTTTCTGTAACCGCAAAAGTATTAGAGGATAATTACTGCCTATTTCCATGAAGATAGTTTGTACATGTAAGAAGGGCTTCGTTTTCACTCACCGGGGGTACTGTTCGATAACAAGTGGATGAATTCGTTCGATGACGAATCTAATATTATCTGACTCTACAGTTTATATTTATTAATGCAAAGATCGAATACTTAGAAAAAAATCCTTCGATCCCTGGATTCGAACCAACGTTTGCCAAACGCTGTGCCAACTAAGCCACGGAACTAGCGGACCTTACGAATTTTTCTATGTGCTTGTTGCCGATCTTTTGGTTTTTAACGACTTTATTGCTATAGCGCCAGCTGTAAAATAGTTGTATTTTGATACAAGTGCGGAAAGTTAGTCATTATTCACGAGTCTCGAAGCTTCGAGGCGAAAATGACAAATCCACACGTGTATCAAACGAGGTTTTTTAATATATTTGCGAAAAAACTACATTAAAAGTAAAATAAAACTAATTTTATTTCTTCGTATTCAGCCACATTAAAATTACTATTTTAGTCGCGCGGTGCGCGTAATACTCACCTCCGGTCATTGCTAATAATCAATCAGCCATCTTTATGGAAAATATTTTGGTATTTTTAAATGTAACCCGTTGCTTTATAAAATACCTATGCAATTTAAACAAATAAGGTGTTTGTAAGTAATTAGAAGTTTCATTGACGAATGGCTTCGTCACAAAGCACATAAATACTAAATAAATATACAACCTCTTTAGTTCTATGTTTAAGACTTGAAACAACAGTAAATTAAAGAAAATGGAAAAGTAAAGAGCACTAGTGCGAAAAATCCAACTTTCACGATTTGTAGTACGAAAAATACCACGTTTTGAGCAACTATATTCAAAAATATATTTCTTCACTCAGGCAGGTACCTTTACAGGTACCAGCAGCTGACAGGAGATGTCGTTAGAGAAGCCGAGAGTTTATATTTATTTAGTAAGCCAGTTTACCAGAAGTGGGAGGTACGACGGAGTTGGCCATGCCGTTGAGCGCGTGGGAGGCGAGTGCCGTCATTGGACTGATGTAGCCTTGCGCAGTTGCCGCCACCATCAGCGCCGCTTGTTGCTGCTGATACAACAATTACTTTGTAAACTATTTGAAAGTTTTCCAAATTAACAAAGTTTTTAGTAAAATACTATGAATCAAAAACCCCTGGAGACGCTGCTTCTATTTTTGTAGGTAGCTTTATCAATTGCTACTTGATTTATTAGCTCTATTATGTATAGTATAGTATTTTTTCAACATTGCTTTGCCAAGAATACTTAGAGCGATGCCACACGGGCGCTGCCGGTGTGTTGTGTCGTCGCAACGCTGTGATTTCAACGCACCGAGTGTCACACGAGCAATGCGGTCTCCCCGTTTCGTCTTCTGGCCCTTGTCCCACGCGTTCAGCAGGTACTCTAACTAACTTTAACGTTACTAACTGTAACGTGATAGACGCAGTAACGATGTTCTATTGTGTACGCCAGAAACAGTCTCCACTCGCTAGAATGAGTACCTGGTTATCGTCGGCTCACTGCTAACCGTACGCGTTCCGCTCGGGGCGTGCTCGTGAACCACGTAACCACACTATGATTTTTATTAATGTACCTTGCAACGGTTAAGGTTACAGCTCGCTAGTGAGTACCCGGCTTTCCGCGCACCATGAGGGGCATATAGTTCTAGTTTACACGTAGTATAAAGCAGCGTCACCACTCAGGCGTCACAACGCTGACGCAACGCATCGTGTGGCATCACTCTTACTAGTTACTACACCAATTGAACTTCGCTTATTTTGTTTTATATGCTCAAAGAAGCATATTTATTTTTCAGCGTTGTGCAACTTCATTAATAGTCGGTCACCTGCTCTGTGATGACCTGCGCGTAGGTGCCGTACGCGCCAAACTGGTTGAACACGAAAGGGTTGAGCAGACTCATATTGCCTGCCATCTGCTGCATTCGCCGCAGCTGCCTTTCCTTCTCGGTGTCGGCGAACTTGACTACTAAACTTGAAGATGCTCCCTGCAACAAAAGAATGGTACATTATTTTTCACTCTACAATGCAAACCTCATCACAATTTGTAACTACATATATGTCCTTGGTTTTTTTAGCAGATTTGTTCATAAATAGTACCGCAGTATAGTTGTTCATAGTAGTATAACAAATAGTATATATAATTTTGTCATTATCCTTAAATATGTCTATTTTAATGTTTTTAGGTGATAAAAATCTTGCTACAATTTTTCATCGCACTATTGCTGGATTATGAAGTATCGTACACATTGTTGCTACCATAAATATTGTACCCTTGAGACAAAGTGTCACATAGTAAAAACCTTTTATTTTTCATAGCCTGTTACGTTAATAGACCGCATTTATAGGCTATAACTACGGAAGCTTTTCCTGGTAAAGCTTTTAAAAATTCAATGTTGAGAGAGGAAACTACAATACAATCGTACAGCGGTTGCGGCTTGGAGTTGGAGCATTCATTATGTATTGCAAACGGGCAAAAATGGCTTGGCTCCGTAGGCGTAGGACGCAACAGGTCGCATGCCAGCGCATGCAACAAGTTATTTTGGGCTCACATCCAAAAATGCAGCCACGGTCTGCCTAGAAACTTCCTCCTGCACTTACTGCAGGCAATTGCTTTGAATTGAACGCTTTGTTAAGACTGTTAAGCAGCTGTTAAGTGGCTAATTGGCTTCGGTTGCTTATGTTCCATTTTCGGAGCAATTCTGTTTAATTCCATTTCGTTGTTTATTCAATTTTGCGATGAAAGGCAAATGTTTGCATTCCGCATTTGTAGTCTCTCGTATTTGTTATTGAAAGTGTTTTGCGTTTTCATTATTTTCTTTCGCAATTCCAGTGACGGATATTGATACAGTGAATATAGTTTTGCTTTTTATTTTTTCTTAAACCAACACGTACTTATATATACCTGGATAATAATAATGTAAAAAATATTTTATCGCCATTTTTCGTATTTTTTTTACTATATGTTTGATTCTTATAAGAGCAGTGGCAGTCGAATGGCTTGACCTAAATAATGTGGGTTTGAATAGGGGTTTTTGCTGAGGGGTTGATGCCGGTTTTTTACACATCAGCGGATGTCGACACGGATGCTGATTTTTGACCTTGACATCAACGGATGCTAATGCGGGTGCTGATTTTATGTACATGCTCACTGAATCTAGCTACATGAAAAAGCTTTTTGTTTTCTTTGGTATCGTAATAAAATATTATTTCAATGATTTTGTGACATTTATTTACAAAAGAATCTATCTGCTTGAATTTTATCAGTTTCATTAAAAAAAACAGCTGAATGAACTACTTTTTCGGCGTACAGTCTGTTCCTGGAAGATTAGTAAGTTATTCCAGCGTGCCATTTACACACGACACGACTCGAAGATCCGCAATAAGTATCAGCATCGATGAATGCGGATGTCGATGCGGATATTTTAATTTATGCTGATTATCCGCAGATGCGGATGTGGATGCTAATATTCGCAACCCTCGAGCTTGCACCAGTTTTTTGCAATTTATGTGCGAAATTTAATTTGATATTGACCATGAGCTTTTCGATGTAGAAAACTATCGCGAGGAACCCTGCGGCCTGCGCCCAGCAGTGGGACTATGTATCAGCTAACTATTATTTATTATAGGATTACTGATTCTTACTTTCTCACGGTGCGTTTAAAAATACACATATTTTTTATAGCTATGTACAAAATAGAACCCATATAAATTCAAAGTCGTATTATTAGAGTGCAATTTCCATCGTCGACGTTAATTGAATTTTTTTTTATATAACATCAAGTGACGGGACTGAAAAATCGTGCGCCTGATGGTAAGCTACACGCCTGTCCATAACAGTTACAGTGCCATTCAGAACTTTAAATTGCAAAGATCTGAGGGGCACTACCACTGCGCCCGTCACCCTGTTACTCTCAGGTCACTTTACCTTTCAAAACCGGAACACAGTAATGCTGACATTACTGCTTGGCGGCAGAAATAAGTAAGGTGACAGTACTACCGTGGTCGAACTCTTTCACAAGGAGCGCTACTGCTACTAAATTAATAAATAATTTAAATGTACTAGTTAATATGGTAAGAAAATTTTAATCCAGTAAGAAGGAGATTAAACTTTACTATTCTATTACACGTGACTGTGTATACTTTAAATGTAATTTTTAGATTTCGTACAAAAACCGAAACTCGAAATTGAAAACGTCTGAGTACAATAAATTATTCTTACAAATATACGTTTTATAAGATAGCTTACTATTATATTATGCATACTGTGGCCTATTTTCACCCATGGAAGCAAGCGCGTGAATATTTTATGAAGACGTCGCCCTCGGCACTCATTATTGTTATGTTCCCAGCTATTTTCAAGAATCATGTATTGTGTAGAATTATCGATACGTAGTTTTCGATGGAGACTATCCATTGACGAACGTTTCATTGCTTTTTTAAATAGCTTTTATTAAATGTTGTGCTGTTTTATTTGTCGTGCTTTTTTTATAAATACCAAGTGAAGGGACGAACAAGTCGTGCGCCAAGAGTTATTTATTTATTTATTTATTTATTAGGCACACCAACAGTTACTACAATAATTCAAGAGTAAGTAATACATTTCACAAACTATTCTAATTGCGTAACCATTTATAGGCGAGCACCTCAAGCAAAAATAAACATGTGTGTATAAATTAAAAGGAAAAAGAAGAGGAAACAAAAAATAACAAAAACAGTTTTAACACCAAGACACTAACTTAAAAAGATATGTATATTTTTAAGCAGAATACAAAACGCAACAAATACTTAACCATGTTATCTGGTCGAACCAAGAAAAGTAAGAATTTTGTTTCTAAAACCTAGCCACGAGTCAATAAATATATCGGCATGTTTGGAGCAGTCATTATATAGATTAGACATGCGAGCTACAGGGGAGTTACAACCCAGTACCGTTCTACGACGAGGCGGGTGAAAAAGCCTTACATGAGATCTCGGAAGTCTGGCAGGAATCTTAAAATTTAAATTACCAAGCAATTGTGGACAGTCAACCTTATAGCGAACAATCTTATATAGGAAAACCATATCCAAAAGTTCTCTGCGCTTCGAGAGAGACGTTATTTTGAAATGTGCAAGTCTCCTGTTGTACGATTTAAATTTTTTTGCAAGACCCACAGAGAATGACAAGTGCCATAAGAAGCGCTTTTGCACCCGTTCTAAATGTAAAGAGTTAACAGCATAGTGGGGTCGCCAAACCACGCTTCCATATTCTAGTATACTCCTAACTAAGCCGTTGTAAATAAGTATTTTCGCTCGAACGCTGCGAAAGATTTTACTATTTAGTTCGTCAAGGAAAGTATTACCACCTTACTTATTTCTGTCGCCAAGCAGTAATGAGTGAGCATTATTGCGTTCCGGTTTGGAAGGGTAAGGGTGCTGGTGAAATTACAGGCACATGGGACTTGTCAACTTACGTCTCAGGGTGACAGCGTAGTGGCTGTGTCTCTAAGATCTTTGCGATTTAAAGCTCTGAGTGGCACTGAAACTGTTATGGGTAGACGTGTCGCTCACCACCAGGGGAACGACTTGTTCGTCCCGTTACTTGAGCAGAACTGTAGTAACCCCTGTAAAGGGCCCGAAACGTTGGTTTGTTTGAAAAAACAAATATACGTGATTTAGATCTTAAAATAAAGTTTCACTGAACAGGCACTGGTCCTCTTTATTCATAATCAGGCTTTGTTTGTTATAAATTATTAATACAAAGATCGAACACAATGAATAATTCCTTCGATCTGACAGGACTAGAACTTGTATCTGTATGCGAATCTAGGCCAGCCGGTCTACCAATTGAGCTGCAAATCGAGTAAGACCTTACGAATTCATCTATGCGTTTGTTACTTATCTTTGTTTTTGGGCTTTTTCGTCGCAGCGTCACATGTGAGTCCAAACTCATCGTACCACGATTTCGTTTAACCGAGGTAAACGACTCTTTTATGGGGAACTGTATACGTTTTTACAATAAGATTCCGGAGCATATATTAAGATTATCATTTCGTAAGTTTAAAAACTACATTAAAAATATTTTGATTGAAAAGTCATATTACAAAATTGAAGACTACGTGTTAGATAAAGATGTATGGAAAGACGATATGGCTCCAGATTGCAAACAAATTTAATTCAAAGTGTATTCCATAGCATTTAAATTTATTTGAAAAGAGCAATCCCAAGAGTTTCTAGCTCGTTCTTCTCAGGGAACGAGCGTAGTGCACGAGCATTAGCTTAAAAGTAGTTTAAATGTGACTTTTCAAGTGTAAATTTATTTTACCTATAAATGATTCTTTGACTTTGACTATGCCAGCTTTTTCTCCATTCAACCAGGTACCTTTAAAAAAATAACGATATTCAATCAGGCTTTATTTCTTCTTCAATGGAAGTTTGAGTAGCAGTGGCTCCTTGTGAAAGTGTTCATCCAGGGCTACTGCTATTTACTATTACTGCCGTCAAGCAGTAATGAGAGCATTAATGCTTTCCGTTTTGAAGATTAAGGGTGCTGGTGAATTTGTAGGCACATGGGGCTTGGTTTAGGGTGCAGGCGCAATGGACTGCCACTGCTACCACCAGGCGCACGACTTTTTCGTCCCTGATATTCGTCGCTTGATATCATAAAACATAATATAAATATCATATATCAATATGTGATTTCAAATTGAAATTGAGGTTGGGTACTAAATTCAGCATTTCTGTTTACTTACTTACTTAACAAAACATTAAAATCTTGTTACTTACTACATAGTCGTAGTTTTGTTAATGTTGTAACAAAATATGGGCAATAAACTAAGAATATTGCACTTGAAGTCATTACACTCTCGTTTCATCGCCTCCCCTGTTTTAAACAAGCACGTTTTATACTCGGCTTACAGAGCTGCGTCTCTACAAACTGTTCTTAAAAAAATGTTTTATATTTTATGTACCTTTTTTTCATACTCTACGGGCCCTTTTTTACTTTATT